AGTGAAAATGATGATAAGTGTAATGACGAAAGCATTGTTAGATCACATGAGGTTAACAAAGCTGGTACACATACAGTTCACAACAATAATAGTAATAACAATAAAAGTAATGTTGGACGATATGAAGTAGCTCACAACAGTAGCAACGACCACAGCAACGCCAGTGGTAAATTGATATCTAACAACAGTGGTAGTGAAAGTACTTCCCACAATGGCAACGACAGCAATAGCAGCGACGACAATATTGGCAGTAAAGGTACTCACAACAATAATGGTGATAATACGAAGATCAATGTTAGATTGGAAGTAGCTTACAATAACTACGATATTAATAATGGTAAAATAGATGGCAGCAGTATGTTAGATAAGGTTGGGAATGAACTAGTTAATGAAAATAATAATTGTAAAATAGATGGCAGTGGTATTGTAGATATAGTTGATGATCATGAGGTTGATGAGGAGAAAGATGATAAAATCAGTAGAATTAATAATTGTAATTTGGATGCCAGCAGTGTTGATGGTGATGAGGATGAGAAGATGGAACGTAATGTTGGTAATGTTGATCAGGCAGATGATGCTGGTAACGTTGATCAGTCGGATGAAGCAGATAAGGTAGATGGTGTTGGAGATGCGGTTCGGTTAGGGGAAGCAAGGGTTGGTAGCGATGGTGGTCGATTGGTCGATGATGAAGAGGCGGATGTTCATGATAATGATGGTAGTCAGGAAGATGCGACGGTGAAGAATAATAAATGTAATGTTAGAGATAAAGATAATGAAGAGAGTGTGGAAGGTGGCTGTACGCTGGAAAAGGAAAAATTCCTTTAAGAACAACGTAAATGTCAGACGCTCAAAAAATGTTGGGAGTGAGCGAAGATGAAAAAAAAGAATTTTTTTATCGAAGATGACATTTTATACCACCAAGAAACTGTATTGGGTTATAAAGTGAAACAGTTGTGTTTGCCAGCAACCAGGCTTCAGATAGTGATGGAAATGGGACATGATAAACCGTTTGCTGGACACATGGCTGCTAAGTCTACAAGACAAAGGGTGGCCCTTAGCTTTTGGTTT